GCCAGGAGCAGCTTACAACTGTAGCCCATCTCCGTCACCATAGGATCATCTTGGCAAGATGCGGAATCTGTTGCCCGCGATCCAGGGCGCCGCAGTCTGTCAGGATCTAAACAAATACTCCACAATTGCAACACGCAGCTCGAGGGAGCACTCATAGCGCAGAATCTGCCTGATTTTCTCTGCACTCTACGAGCACTGCACTGCCACGTTCCTGTAGTTTACTCATACATATGACAACGAGATATTTGGGCATGCGCTCATTCTACTGTATCCATCCATATCTCTACTGACTGCACCTCCATTTTGCTCTGTACAGCAAACGGAGGTGCAGCCAATAGAACTATGGAAAGTATACAGTAGAATGAACTCATGGTGCAACTAATAAAGGTCTGGAGAGGATACAGTAGAATGCATACCGTTGCAAGCTCTGCAGGTCTTGGGGCAGGCATCTTTAACCCTTGTGATGGGAGGCACTCCAGGAGGCAGGGCCTCGTCTGGGCGCAGATCCTGCAAGCGACTGTTGCAGCCCTCAGGAGTCCCTTCAGCTACCGCGTAGAGAACCTTGCATGTGAATCCCATAGCTTTGACTTGGGGGTCGTCCTCGCACGCTGTAGCAGGATCGTCTTCGTCTTCTTCGTCTTCTTCCGACTGCTGCTGCTGCTTCTTCTGGGGTTCGTGCGGACCCAAAGCAACGAAATCCTCTTCATCCTCTTCGTCAGTAGCCTCTGCATCCTGATGCGGTGCTGCGGCAGCCTGGCCCGTGCTGCCACAGTCTCCCCTGTCGTACTGACAGGCGGCAACGTTGCAGGCTTGGTCGCAATGTCTGTTCCCCAGGAACCACAGGGGGCAACCTCTGGCGCACTGCTTGCAGAGACCACAGGTCTGGGGACAGGCGAGCGCAAGCGTGGCGTCTGGCGGCAGAAACGAGGGAAGATCCACTCCCGCATCTGCGAGCAAGAAGTCGCACTTGAGCATCTTCTTCAGAGCCTCACAAGACTTGCCGGATTTTTCCTGCACTTCCTGCTGGTCCTCACAGACCATCTCCACTCCAGCTACTACAGTCACTGGGGGACCCTGTGGCACTGCCTGCTGCTCTTCCGAGTCCTCCGGTCCTAGCTGCTGTGCCTCCAGCTCGGCTCGAGTCTCTTCATCAATGCATTTAAATGTGGCTTTCTGCGGTTTGCTGGTGGTTTCTGTCCCAGCGACGCCCACTTCCCAGCTGTCTGTGCACCCAACGGCTGCATCGCCTCCGCCTGTCTCCGCAGCACAGTCTCCGCCGGTTGCCGCTGCAGTGAGCCCTGTGTTCTGGGCAGCAGTGTTGGGGTCAGCCTGTGTGATGCGCCAGATGAGCCGTTTGCCTTGTCTGCCTGCTTTTGGGGGGGTCTCCTGCGCCCACAGAAAGTGAGCAGGAGGGTTCAGCGTGTCTTGCAGGAAGCGGGGCAAACTGCCATGTGGGTCTCCCCTTAAGAAGATGCCGTTGAAGACAGCAGCGTCCCCAGTGAATCCGCTGACGGAGATGAAGGGACAGGGGTCTGGAGCGCAAGGGGGAAGCAACAAGGCTTCTTCCTCATCTTTTTTGAGAGGGATATCGGGAGGTTCAAGAGTGAATTCGCCTTTACCCACGCAGGTAATGGCTAGCTGCCTCATGGACG